TATCTCCACCGGCTCCTTTTCTTGTTTCTTCCACTCCAGCCACCTGACCTTAGGTTGAGGCTCAAGCCTGTTAAACTCATGCCACATGCGCATTTATTATTGCAGTGAGCAAAGGCACTGATCAGACGGCGTAAGTGCATGGCTTTTCCTGCTACAGTTTTCACTGTGCCTCAACAAGCTGGCATTCTGACAGGCTCATCCCTCTCTCGTGGGTTCGACTGGTATGAATCTGCAGACAAGACTGTTTCTTCTCAGCCCACAGAGCTAGACTAATAGGACAGCCATGAGAGTCAATCTGTGTATTCCACTGAAGTACGACTGCTCCTAACCGCCTATACTTTAACTTCACTGCATTTAGTAAGCAATCGCACATACCAATATAGGAATTTTGTTTTATTGTAACTGTAAATCTCTCCATCATCGTTTGGTGCACAGCCAGCCGAGAGGGTGACGGTATCACTGACCCTCACTGGTGCACTACCCGTGTCTTGGGGTTTATTGTCACTCACCCAGGCTTGGGAATTAACAGTTCTCACAAAACAGCAATAGGACTTGAACGATTCTTGCAAAGCACTGGAAGAGAGCTGTTTACTAAATTTGCAAGCAGAAGAAAAGAAACAAGAAAGGGCATTTACAAGCTCATCACATTTGCTGAGGTGTAAAAATAATGATGGTCTAGTAAGATCTGACAAGCCCAGCCAAAGCATGCAAAATCTGAAGGAGGACTATCTGCAGTACGGATCTCCTTCCATTATTATTTATAATTAACTTTGACCTACATGAGATTGGCCAATAACACAGTGAAACCAACAATATGACAGTTAAACTCGTTCATTTCTTTTCAAAAATTTCTATCTTGGGATTACTACATCATGTAGTTGATGTATTAATATATTAATAATATTAACATCATCATGATATAAATACTTTATGTCCATGTTCAAGAATTTTAACAGCAACCCTAGCTGGGCATGGTGGTGCACACTTGTAGTCCCAGCTGCCTGGAAGGCAAAGGCAAGAGGATCACAAGTTCTACTGCAGCCCAGGCAACTTAGTGACCCTGTTTCGAAATGAAAAAAGAAAAAAGGCTGGAGATGTAGTTCAGTGCTAAGGTTTTGGGCTCAACCCCCAGTACAACAAAAATTTAAAAACTATAAAAAAGATTTCTGGATTAAAGATTCCATTTGGAAGAGCTCTGACCTCATTATCTTCGAGTGACTGATGACCATGGTCATTATTTAATAATTTCCTTTTATATACTTGAAAGTGGATTATTAAGGACCTCTAGCTAGAGCACTTGGGTGCTGCGAATGTGGGAGATTTGGGCAGCAGCTCCAACGGGTGCTGTGGAGATAGGGTGCAGGACTGAACCCTGCCTCGGCCACTGCCCACTGCACTCTTGGGCAGGGCACCTCCTGCAGCAGTTTCCTCAACTGCAACTTGAGGGTAATAGTATTTTCCGCACAGGGCCATTTTGGGGATTAAATGAGTTTATAAATCTATGAATTTAGACCAGTGCCTAACATCTAATAAATACTGTGAATGTTAATTAATGCTAACCTGGCTTTGGTTACATCATTTTAAAAACAAAACTAATCCCCGGTCCAAATGCTGCACCAGCCCTGCCCCAGGGGGCTCACTGAGCTGGCAACCGAGTCCAGGCATGGTGGCGCACGCCTGTAATCCCATTGCTGGGGAGGCTGAAAACAGGAGGATCACTATGAGTCTGAGCTGTGTAGTGAGACACTGTACCAAATACATAAAATAATAAAATATAAACAAAACTAAAACTAACCTTGCTGGCTATCACCCCTCATTGGCCACAGTGATCAGCACACTGCTGTCTTTATGGTACTGCGGAGTAAACTTGCAGAATAAGGAAAACACCTTCAGTGTTTAGCTTCACAACAGTTTTGCAAAATGGTGCTGAGAAAAATGCACTGCCATGAAATTAAGTACTTAGTGGAAAGTAGCAGACAGAAATTAAATGTCTTTCAAAATAATTCTGCAATTCACTTTGGATGCTGTAAAGAAATTTAAAAAGCAGTGCACTTTAAATGTCAGTGCTCTGCAGCAGACACTGTAACATTTTATGGGGAAATGGAATGATTTGTCAGGAAAAGCAGCTTGCTCCTTGAAATGACCAAGTGCAGGTTCTGTCTTAATGTTTGGGAGCAGGAGGAGGTAACAACCTCCCGGTGTAATTTCCCAGAATTATCCTGTATTCAGATTATACAATGCTGTTTCTTATTGAAGAGTCTATATGCCAATTGCTCTTCTTTTTTTTTTTTTTAATTTTTATTTGTGTGTGTGTGTGTGTGTGTGTGTGTGGCGCCAGTTCAGCCCACCAGGGGGCGGGGCTGGCTGGCATTGAACCACGGTCCCTGTGTTTTGCCAAGCTTGTTCCATGTAGGTGCTTTAGACCACTGAGCCATCTCACCAGCCCCACCAATTGCTTTTCATTACCACCTCTTTTCTTTCACTTAAGAAAATGTTAGGACCGGGCAGATAGTTCGGTGGTATAAGTGCCTGCCTGGCAAGCACAAGGACCCAGGTTCACCGCATACTGTGCCAGCCCTGTGCCCTGCTGCCCCAAAACCAGACATGGTGGCACAGGCCTATAATTCCGTCCCTGGGGAGGCTGAGACAGGAGGATCACTATGAGTCTGAGCCACATAGAAAACCCTGTACCAAATAATCAATTAATCAATCTTTAAAAAAGAAAGAAAATGTTACACAGGGGATGTAGCTTAGCAGCACAAGTGCCTACCTGGAAAGTGTAAGGTCCTGCGTTTGATTCCCGACACCAAACAAACAAACAAACAAACAACGCTCCACCAAAATTTCAATTTAGGAGACTGAGGCAGGAGAATCAAGGCTACTCTGAGAGCTACCTAGTAAGTTTAAGGCCAACTTGAACTACACAGTGAAATCCTGTCTCAAAAAAAAGCAAAGAAAGATATTAACATGAACATATGAAAATATGCAGAAAAGATAAAATAATAAAAATCCATAGGTCCTTTCACTAATATTTGTGTATTTTTCTAAATCAGTTAAAATATAAATATCAAAAGTTGCATCTCAACTATATCCCTATGCATGCTAAAAACCCCTTTTAAAAATACGTACATGCACAGTGCCACCATTAGACCTAATAACAATGGCCTGATGACTCAGTCCAAATTTTTTAAATTGATCCCCAAATATCTTTTTTTTTGGGGGGGGGTACTAGGAATCAAACCCAAGGCCTTGCCAGGCACTGTGCCACTCGCTGAGCTACATCCGGGCCTTCCCAAATATCTTTTACAGTTGGTTTGTCAAACTAGCATACACAAGCAGTCACTGCATTTACTTTTGTCTCTTAAATTTCTTTTAAGCTAGAAGGACCCTACCTTGCCTCTCTTCCTTCCTCCTTCGTTCCTCCCTCTCTTACATGCTTAAGAGACCGGGCCACCTGTTCTAGGTTTTTCTCATTGTTTCCTCCTTTTATCCTTCCATTCGAGCAGCCTCTGAGGCAGGAAGGTATATTTAAAGCCTTGTATGTGGTTCTGGATTTTTGGAAGCAGTATTTCAAGAAGACATGACAGGTTCATATTATACCAGGAAACAGTGTCAGGTTGGTCTGCTTTTAATGATCATCAGGTTGATCACCTGGAATAAAGTAGGAGGGAGAAGGCTCTCCCTGTGAAGTCTGTATTTGCCCCTGACAACCAGCAGTAATCCCTAAGGGATAATTTGGCACTCTGAATACTCCTCTCACAAAAGGGTTTCATTGATGATTGGAGCATGGACCAGTTATTTCATTAGGAACTGCAAAAATTCTTCACACTATTTAGCTAGCATACTTCTGTAAAGAAAACTAATTTCTCACCAACAGGTGCAGTTTCTTAAGTTACCACTTTTCAGAGTAAATGTTGGTGTAAGTAACCACCATCAAGAGCATAGCAAATAAGATCTCCCTCCCTCTCCCCCTCCCCCTCTCCCAATCCCTCCCTCTCTGCCTTAATATGGCTTATTATGGGGGAAGGTGACTTTGTTTTTCTTTTTTTCTATGAGACAGGGGCTCCTTATGTATGGAGGCAGGCCTCTGACTCTGGATACCCTCCTGCCTCAGCCTCGAAAGTGCTACATTTTTAGGCTTATGCTTCCATGCCTGGCTAGGAGGTGACTTCCCAAGCTTTGTATTTCCAATCTTGAAGTTTTGCAGTCCTACTTTCAATACACACACGATCTTACTTTTTGCCAGTGAGCAGTCCCTATTCTGGGCTCCTGTGTCTTGAGGTTCTTTTCTTTATAAGCTTGCGGACTTCTGGCCCAGGGTATCCCAAGGGTCCTACTTCGTGGTCCCCAACTTCCGACCTGGCATCCGCCTTCTCTTCAAAGTGCCGTGGTTCCTTTTAGCCGGGAGTGAAAGATCAACATCTGGGCTCCAGGGATCATCACTGCTTCTGGATCTTGCGTTTATATCTATGTATTTCAGAAATAGCAACATAGAGATTCTCACTAGCGACTATAACTTACTTCATGACTCCTGTTTAAAGGGAACACACAGCGTGCAGAGGTGCCGGGGTGGCTTCTCCGGGCGGGGAAGGGCCTTAGGAAAGGTGTCAGGTCGCGAGTCAGCCCCAGGGTGCGGGAACGTGGGTGAGCAGCGCTGTCCGGCCGTAGCCTGTAACCCGAAAGTCAAGACTGGGGTCGACCTGCCGAGGGAACCGCCAGCTCCGCAGCCTGCGTGACCGCTCTGACCAAAGGTATGAAAAAGCACCTACGCCCGTGCAGCAAACCTTAACCCGGGCCTAGGGTCTTAACACCGCCAATCAGAAGGAGCTTGCAGCAGGAGGGCGGGACATCAAACCACCACGTCCAATGAGCAATCGGCTTCGGGTCGCCTAAGGCCAAAGCCCCAGGGGAGGGCCGAAAAGAGGTTTTGGGACTTGACCAATCAAAGGGGACGACTCACGCGGGCGGCCCAGCGGCCAATCAGAAGAGCGCTCACTGCCCCGCGTCCGGCCCCCTCGGAGCCTTTTTTCTAGCCCAAGGCTGCGGAGGCGCCGTCACTACGAGCGTGTGTACCGCGGCGTTGGGTCGCAGTTGCTCCGATGAGCTGTGCAAGCTCGAGCTGTGACATGGCGAGCCCGGACTTCGAGGGTCATGCGGGCCAGAACGGAGACCATTTCCTATATTTCGCATACGGCAGTAACCTGTTGACGAAGAGGATCCGCTACCGAAACCCCTCGGCCACGTTCTGCTGCGTGGCCCGCCTGCAGGTCGGTGTCCCTGCCCGGCCCTGTCTGCTGTGCACACACCGGCCGGGACCTCCGGGAAGCACTGCGTCAGGATGCCTGCGGTGTCCTGGCTTCCCCTCCTGGGAGCGTGTGCCCGGGCCCTCTCGGCTACCCCCAACCCCCGCAACTTCCCACCTGCGGCGGCTCACTGCGCAGCTTCGCTCCGCATCCTTGTCCTCTGGCTTAGGGGCATCCTCGGAAGACACGCAGTGGGTACTTGCGAGAAGCCTTCTGTTCTCTGCACTCCTTTGTTACGGGACTTGCCACTGGTGTTCACCTCCCTTTCTGTCCTGACGTGGGCCCCAGAACGCTGGACCCGTGTGTACTTTAACAGTCATCCCTGCGCTCAGTTAGATCAAGTGGTTGAACTGTAACCAACCTGGTAAATCATTACCCTTCGGAACAGTATGTTTATTTTGTATGGGTTCTCCTGGCACTTTACGCTGGTTGCATCGCTGCTGCCCAGGGACCTCCCAGGCTACAGGGGAGTTGTGCAGACAATGTGCCATTTCATACTAGTGAGCTAAACAGACATTATGTCTGCTAACCTCGTCAGGGTTCTTAGTTGTAAGCAACAGAAAATGGCTGATTTAAGCAAAAAAAAGAAAAAAGAAAGTGTTGAAAGGAAAGGCTGTGAGAGCGTTCACAGAGTGACCGGAAGGCAGGAGTACAAAGCGGACAACACGCAGGCATAAAGGGAGATGTGGCCCCCGAGTAGGGCCCGCACCACACAGCCGCATCTGCCCCAGAGCATTTGCTGAACTGGACTTGCTGAGCATGGCTGTTGTGTCTTGCGTGGCCAGCACCATCTTTTCTGGAGCCTGTCAGCTGCTGTCCTGTATCCCCAAAGTTCCTGAAAACCCTGGTGTGCCAGCCACTACCAGGTAGAGTCCCCTTGGCCTTGACTTCTAATCCAGAGCCCCAGGTGGTCATCCTGATTAGCTAAATCTGGCTTTGTGGCCATGGTCTGATGGCAAGCAAATCTGAAAGAACCAACTTCTGACCTTGGAAAGCTTTCAAACTGGGAGTTAGGCTCAGAAGCTCCCTTTCTACACCTTAGGGAATATGCTATGTGTAGGGAGCAGGTTCAGATGCTTAGAGCAGGGAAAAGAGATGGGAAGTTTCTGGCATGGACAGTCATAAAAAGGAGTTGTGCAAGGTACAACAGAGTATGACTAAAGGACCTGACCTGACCAGGATGCTCAGTAAAGCCCTCCTTGAAAATGGGAGCTTTTAGCAGCCGGGAACGTAGGGTGCCAACAGACTGTGAGGAAAGCGTGTGCAAAGGACCTGAGGAAAGAGGAACGAGGAAGCGGAACTTTTGGGCTGGTGGAACTGGAATCTAGTGAGGGGCATGTGGCATGAGGACTGCAGAGGCCAAAGGTCAGATTTACGTCTTTGAAATGCATTCTTGTCTCTATGGACAATGGGGTTAAAGGGGGACAGTAGTAAGCATGGGCAGCTCAGGAAGTTGCAGTTCATGCCAAAGATAATGAATGGTGTCTGAGACTAGGGTGGTGGCAGGACAAGGCAGGTAGGCTGGTGATAGTAAGGAGATAACATTGTTACAACTTGGTGACTGAGTGTGAAGGGAGAAGATCTCAAGGATAACACAAGATTTTGCACAAGGTAGATGATGGTGATGCTTACAGAGAGTAGGAGAGGGCAACCCACTCGGGTCTCCTGTCCCTCTCTAGAGCAGAAGCTTTCTTCCCCCAATAAATATACTCTGCTTTTAATCTCCATTCCCAAAATTCATTCTTCAGTTTTAGAGAACATGAAGTTGACCCAGAGAGTGGGAGAGAATGAGGTTTGGGAGGGAAAAGAATCCTAAGTTCAGTTTAAACATACTAAAGTTGGGATGCTTGCCGGACAGCCAAGTGGGCTGGAAATAGCAGTGAGCACCGGCTTGGTAGAGTACTTGCTACGTTCTAGATCTCGCTGTGAGCCCTTTTGATGCTCCGAAGAGAGGTGGGCTGATGGAAGCATTAGGTGGTATTAGCCACTGAAGGGGTTGGGATGATCCGGACCAGTTGCTGAATGAGTAGAAAAAGGCCTGCGGTGAGCCATGAGAAACTCCAACATTTACAAAGTGGGTACTGGAGGAGGAGTTGGCAACAGAAGTGGAGATCAAGGAACAGCCTGAATATGGGAAGAGAGGGTGGAGCAGGACTGGCCACGTCACAAGCAGCTGAAACTCTGGATCGAGATAGGAAAGGAGAATTGACTGTTGGCTTTAGCAGGAGACACGCAGTCCCTAGCATGGGCTGTAACTTTTGATTAGATCTACTGATGTCCTGCCAGGTGTGCCTAGTGCTAGAACATCTAGTGTGCCACTTAAAGTCCTGGTCACTGAAACAAACTTTCATCCTGAAATATATGACAGGTTTTTGAGAAGATGCATGACATAGGAATAAAATATGAACCTGGAGAGGAACTTAAAGTTCTCATCCATTTCAAGGGAACTAAGCTATGGAAAGGTGGAAAGAGACCTTCCTGGACCGAAGAAACCGAATCAGGCTTTTAATCTTGCCTAGGACTCTCATTTAATTCCCACCGCTGAGGGAAGAAGCACAACTAGAAAAGGCTGCATTGCCTGTTAGCTGTGAGACCTTAGGCAGGTGACTTAGTCTTTCAAAAGCACAGTTTTTCTCGCTGTTGAATGAGTATAATAAAGTTGCTACAGGATGAAAGCTGGTCCACATAAAGCTAATAGCATAGATAATGCCCAATAATTTTCAGTGTTAGCTACTCTTGGGGTTACTGTAGATAAATTCATACAATTCATGAATATTTGAGTAATGTTCATAAGTAGTCAGATCAATTGCCAGCTCCCTTATGGCAAATGTGACACAGGGTGATAGGATTATAGCAGAAAGTCTTAGACCGGGGAGATGGCTCAGTGGAATAAGTGCTTCCCTGGCAAGCGCAAGGGCCTGAGTTCAATCCCCGGATCCGCCAGAAAGTCTTGTCCCTAAAATAATGCATATTCACGTAAGTAGACAGGGAAATGATTTGCAAAAATTAAAGAAGTCATGTTAAGACATTTGGGCTATGGTTTTTTTTTCTTAAGCCTTTTTTAAAAAAGGTTGGGATGCCTGTACATACCAGTATATCTCCCCTTTTTCAAAGAACATGTAAAAAATATATTCCTTGAGATCTGAGACCTTTAAGGTAATCTTTGTCTTTTGCATAGTTTCTTACAAAGAATTCGAAGTTAAATACTTTAATTGTATGGGGTTCAAAGTAAATCCTTTTTATTTTGAAGAGAGAAATCTGGGTTCAAATAGAGCTGATCATATATCATTTTGATTTCTTTTGTAGGATTTTAAGCTTGACTTCGGCAATTTCCAAGGCAAAACGAGCCAAAGGTGGCATGGAAGTATAGCTACCATTTTTCAGAGTCCTGGAGATGAAGTGTGGGGAGTAGTATGGAAAGTGCACAAAAGCAATTTAAACTCTCTGGATGAGTAGGTAACCTCTAATTATAAAGATTTGAAAAAACTAATTTGGAAAGTAAAATGTGTGTAAGGTTGTGTGTATTTGTGTGTTCCTTTCAGAAAACTGCACCACAGATATATTTATTATATTTCAGAGTCAAAAATTACCACAAAATGTACAATAGTGTTTGTTAAAAAGTTTAGAGGGCTGGCCAGGTAGCTCAGCAGACTAACGTGCCTGCTTAGGCAGATACAGTGACCAGGGTTCAATCCCCGGCCTGCCGGGCTGGCCCCGGCCCCAGGGCACTCTGAGAGGCTGACTGAGACGGGGCGTGGTGGTGCACCCCTGTGATTCCAGTGTTTGGGAGGCTGAAAACAGGAGGATCACTATGAGTCCAATCCTGGTAGTGAGACCCTGTAGACCCTGTACTAAATACACACACATTCACAAAAAAAGTTTAGAAGGGCCACTATGATTGAGACTTGGGATGTTTGTAACATCTTATGTCAGAAGATAGCAGGCTTTATTTTGTGTTCTGTTAATTTGTCTTTCATAAAAGTTCACTTTCATATTGTGAAAAAACATGAATAATTGTTAAACATTTATATTGATTTCAAAAGGACATTGGTTCAGTTTTTAAAAACAGTTTTTTTAAATTGCAGTTTAATCAGTCAATAAGTAATAATCTATGAAAGCATTGCCAACAACATCTTATTGGTGACTGGAGTTGTCAGAGGTGTGTGGCAGCACATTCAATACCAGGAAATAGGCAGGAAAGAGCAGGCCTTAAGAAGAGCTTGGTCACCTGACTGGTTTGATTCTACACCTCCCTTGAGTGACAGCCAGCCGCCCTCCTGCTTCTGTGGGTGGATGTCCTGTCCTTGTCAGAACAGCTAGCCTGTCTGTAGCCTAAAGAACCAACAGTGTTTTAGGGCTGTGAAGTGGAATTACGTACCCTGGAGCTTGTCTAGACAAGATAAATGCAGAGATCTGTTAAGGTATACCAACTCCTGTTGTCACTCAGCATCCACAGGGGACATCCTGAGGACACTGGAGCTACTCAAGGACTGTGCTGTAGCATTTGCATACAACCTATATCCTTCTATTTAATTTAAGCCATCTGTATTACTTACAGTATTTAATATAACATAAATGTTACTACACTGTATTTACTTTTTAAGCCCAATTTTTAAAAAATATTCTTCAATCCAAGTTTGGTTGACTCTGCAGAGGAAACCCCAGGAGTCCAAAAGGCCAGTTACAGTATTAAGCCGTAGCACTGGTGGGATAGCTCAGTGGACTAAGTGCTGGTCTAGGTAAGTGCAGGGACCAGGTTTGATCTCAGCACCACATGCCACCAGCCCTGCTGAGCCAGCACCCGAGTCCGAGCATGGTGGTATATGTCTGCAATCCCAGTGCTGGGGAAGCTGAAAACAGGAGGATCACCCTGAGTCTGAGCTCTGTAGTGAGACCCTGTACCAAATACATTAAAAAAAAATTAAGCCACAGACTTTTTAATTGAAAGGTTAACCTTATTTTTAATATGGTGATACCTATGTGTTCTACTATATTCCAAACTACATAGGGAGCAAATACTTCCATATATTCCATATAGATAATTAAATTGTTAATCCTGTACTAAATTTGATTAAAAGCACTCAGCGAATCCAGTTACCTAAGTGATACTTGGTTAGAATTTGGCTGTTCTGATTTCAGGCAAGAAGGAGTGGAAAGTGGAGTATATGTCGTAATAGAAGTCAAAGTTTCAACTCAAGAAGGGAAACAATTAACTTGTCGAAGTTATCTGATGACAAATTATGAGAGTGCTCCCCCATCACCACAATATAAAAAGGTAACTGCTTTTTACTTTTCATTGGTATAAACTAAAAGAAAACCTTGTTTGTGAAAAGATTTTGTTGCCAAGTATGGTGGCATATGCCTGTAATCCCAGCACTCTGGGAGGCTGAGGCAGGAGGATTGCAAATTTGAGCCCAACCTGGGCAATTTAGCAACTTGGTAAGATCTTGTCTCAAAACAAATTTTAAAAAGAAAGGAGGGCTGACCAGATAGTTCAGCAGATTAAAGTGCCTGCTTAGGCAGATGCAGGGACTAGGGGTTTGATTCCTGGCATGCTATGCCGGCCCCACCCCCCGAGTACACTGAGATGGTGGTTGAGACTGGGTGCAATGGTGCGCACCTGTAATCCTAGCACTTGGGAGGCTGAAAACAGGAGGATCACTGTGAGTCCAGGATGTGTAGTGAGACCCTGTACTAAACATATATATATATTTAGTACATATATCCACACAGTGCTGTGGATATTGCTTAGGATAAGGGCCCTCCTTATTTTGAACAATAATTTAAAAGGTTTTCTGTGTTTTTAATTCCACAGGAGGGTTTTTTTGTTTTGTTTTGTTTTTTGAGGTATTAAGGATTGAACCAGGGCCTTTTCACTGAGGCAATGAGTTGCATCCACAATTTAAAAAACAAAATTATAGATAAGGTCTCTTTAAGTCACTAAATTGCCCAGGGCATTTCAAACCTTCAATTCTTGTGCCTCAGCCTCCCTGCAGAAGATAAAAACATGGTTTAGAGACTCCACCATCCCCAAGCTTAGCTGCTCGTGAGCAGGCCCACTCATACGTGGTGTGTACAGATTGCATGAGCCATCCATGCAGTGGTTAGGATGAGGCACAGTGGTTGGCCTGGGTAGGCCTTGAGGTGTCACTGAGCACACTTACGGTCTACACCACTTACTCCTGCACACCACTTGTGGGTCACAGCAAAAGTAAACAGTGTATCTGAAATCAAAGCTGCTCCCACTCCCTGTCAGCTTTTTGTGTTTTTGAAGAATGATGTTTTTCTTTAAAAGTCATGAAAAAAAGTTTTTGTTTAGAACTGAGAATTAAATTAAATTGTGTTCCTAACTAAAAGGGTATTTGTTATAACCATTTCTAGGTGATTTGCCTGGGTGCAAAAGAAAATGGTTTGCCACTGGAGTATCAAGAGAAGTTAAAAGCAATAGAACCAAATGATTATGAAGGAAAGGTCTCAGAAGGAATGGAAGAAATTCTCGAATAGAAAAAACAAAAACTCTATGGAACATAGCAGAATATGCCTAGGGATACTCTCTCCTTGTGCTAATATGAAATACTCTTAAAGTTTGAGAATGAAGAATTGGGATTTGCGGTCTCTCCACCTTTACTCTCCTTTCAACAGTTCTCTGAAGAGGAGGTTCACTTGGGTGACCCATACTTTCAGACTCTATAAAGAAGCTGGGCTTGGAGTTAGGAATTTAAAAGGGGGGCTGTGAGGCACTGGGGTGCATGGCATGGATGTGGCTACACCTTCTGTGGACACAGCTATTTTTAAAAATTTTCTTTCTTCATTTTTTTTCTTCTGAGTTGACCTTAAGGATCTTCTTCCTCTGTGACAAAGGGTAGGTTTGTGGCCTGCTTGATGATGGTGCTGGTGAACTGCTCTGCTCTGGGTTTTTATGTTATTCAACTTGGAAGCAAGCTGCTGAGACGGTTCAAGATAAACTTTTGAAAGTTGGAAAGGCTGTTCTTAGAGGAATAAATATATTTAGACTTTAAGCTGTTTGTCATACTAAAATATTCCTTATGCTGTTTAACTCAAATTATCAGAGGACTGGAGCAGACTGTGGCCATGTGGGGTTTACAGTAAAGGAACACTGCACGAACTCTGGACCCAGGCAGGGTCGCAGCAGTGCCCAGCCAAGCGCTGAGAGTGTAGGTCCTGTCAATCTCTGTGCCTCTGTTTCCTTATGTGCGATAAGGATAATAAAAACACCTGTATCTTCAGATTGTTTTGAGGGTTAAATGAGTCTGTCTGCATATAGTAGGACAGAGTTCAACACCTTATAACTATTAGCAGTCATTAGTGTTCTTAACTGAAGACTTCAGTTTGTGCAGGGCCATTCTTGAAATAGGCTCTTAAAATATAAGAGTCGAGGTTTTAAAGGGAAGACTGTTTTAGGAGAGATACAGTTTAATCCTTGGCTTCTCAGGAAACTGACCTTGTAAAATTTATTTGATGAATAATCACAGAGGAAAAAAGTCAAGAATAAAGCAATACTGGTTTTCAGAAAATCTATCCTGTGGCATGCAGTCAGCTGTACCATAACTGGTCACAGGAACATAAAAATGCATTTTGTTCTTTTAAGTGAAAGTCCCCCAAGGGCTTTCAGGCTCCAGCACTGTTCTGTCGTGAGGCTGAGACCACAGCACAGACCATGTTTGTAGCTGTCACACCTCTCTATTTTCCACTATATCCTCTAGTAATCTAGCTTTTTCCTGATTTTTAAGTCTTCCCAAGAAGATCCAAGTTTGTCAGTGATCCAGTACCCAGTAATGATAATGCAGTAAGCAAGGCTTATTTTTGCAGTAGGTACCAAAAATTGAATAGTAGTCTAATAATCTCACCTAAACTGACAACTTCTTTAAGAAATTCAGAATGCTAGCAGTAACACTTTGATGTATGGCCTTTTAGCAAAAATCTGGACTTACAAGGCATACTGATTTCCTAGTTTTCAGAGTCATACTGCAATGGGCAACTATAAGCACTCTACCAGCTCTCAAATCACAGTACAACCACATCCTGTTAAAGTATAAGAACCATTTTTAAAAAGCATTGCTGGGCTTTTTAAAAAGGAACATGAACTTCAGGGGTACAAACCACACCTCCCCAAAAAAGAAAAAAGGAAGATAAACTGTGAACTTTCAGAAACAGACCATCCTGCAAAGAAATGACTTTGGTGTACAAGTGTCAACAGTATTCCCAGAATTGGAACCCTCCCCTGGCGCACTCCTGTGCGGAGCAAGAAAGCCAGCCCTGAGAACCTTAGCCTCACTACCGCCATCGGAGTAACCTTAGAAAGGAGGAAGCCACGAGCCTCCTTCCTCCCCTGTGTGTTCATGGAGCCTGGACTTCATTCCCATCGGGCAGTGATGGTGTCCTTTGGCCTCCCCATTGGAGGGGCCTCACAGCTATAGAAGATTTAAGCTGCGAGCCAGAGTTTATCTCCAAAATGCCAAGTCTTTGGTTGAAAATCCATCATTCCAAGAATCAGGAAGATCCCAAACTAAATGAAAAAAGATGATCAGTAAATGCCAAACAAAGGATTTTAAGCCAGACATCATTAAAACATTTCAGTGGGCAACAGGAGAATATGTTGAAAATGGAGAAGTATAGAAAGCTTTAAATAGAAGATTTTTTTAAAAATAGAAATTTTAGTGTTAACAAACATAATAGCTGCAACTTGAAAAACTCAGTGGGTGGGTTCCGCAGAGGAGCGGAGAGAACAGAAGAGAGAGTTAGTGAACTGGATGACAGAACAGCAGAAAGTAGCCCAGTCTGAGCACGAGAGAAATAGACTGACAAAGAAAACACCTGAACTAACAGAGCCTTGGGGACATCTGTGACCATAAGTATAAAGCTGACATTGTGCCATGGGCGTCTCAGAGTGCAGAAAGGAGAAGCTGGACAGAGACCCAAAGAATTGGGGAAGATCTTCCTGAATTTGGCAAAAGTCATAAACTTGTTTCTTCAAGAAGCTGAATGAACCCCAAACAGAGAAATCTACCCCAAAATACATCATAGTCAATCTTCTAAAAAATACAGAATTAATTAATTTGATACTTGGGGTTGAACCCAGGGCCTTGCACATACTAGGTAAGCACTCTACCACAGAGCTATATCACCAACACCACTCTTTTCTCAGTTTTTGAGGGGGTTTTACTAAGTTGCCCTCGCTGGTCTCCATCTTGAGGTCCTCCTGCCTCAGCCTCACAAGTAACTAGGATTATAGTTGTGTGTCACTTTCACCTAACTAGAAAAATCTTGGAAGTTGTGAGAATTGACACCAGTAGAAAAAGAAACAACTTGCACATTTCTCATCAAAAGCCATAGAGGCCAAAAGGAAGTGATATATTTTTTTTTTTTCAAAAAGAAAAGAACTATCCACCCAGAATCCAATAAAATAGCCTTGGAGGATAAAGTAGAATCCAGGACATGTCAAGTGAAGGAAAGTAAGAAAATTTATCACAGCAACCCTACCTCAGAGAAAAGTTGGAGGACGGTTTCTAAACAAAAAGGAAATGGTGAAAGAAGGAAGCTTACTACAACATCAAAAGAGAATACTGTGAGGAAAACTACAGATAAATATGAAAGACTTTCCTTCTCTTTGAGTTTCCTGCATTACAGTTGGTAGTTGAAGCAAAACTTGTAACACTGTGTACTGTGGTTCTGAATATATGTAGAAGAAATATTCTAAACAATTAGCAAAGGGAGAGAGAAGGAAAACAAAGTTTCTACATTTCATTTAAGCTAGTAAAAGAACACCAGTCCTGAGGTTATGTAAATAATATACCTGGATGATATACCTGGAGCACCTTTAATATTCCTATATAAAGAGTTTTATTTAAAACACTATAGATAAAATGGAATTCCCAAAGATGCTTACATAACCCACAGAAAGTGAAAAGAAAAAAACCCACAGAAAGGAGAGAAGCAAAACAAAGCAAAATGGCAGACTTAAGTCCTAACTTATAATTACACTAAATGTAAGTGATCTAAGTACACCATGTAAAGGACAGAATTAAGAAAATGGCCCAACGTTAAACTATCCACAAGAAACTTACTTCAATTATAAGATGTTTGAAAATAGTTTTTAAGCTGTTTGATGAAAATAATAGCACAAGTAGTTTAAGTTGTGATATAAGCAATTCCCAATCTGATAGAGATCTGGATGTAAGCAATCGAGGGAAAGAAGGAGTGGCTGTGTTAATACATGATAAAGTAGGAGAGAGAGCCAAGGACATAATCAAAGACATTTGACAAGCTTTACCCAATTCATTTTTGAACCTATTATCACCCTGTTACCCAAACCAGACAGAAAACACAAAAGCAACAACAGAAAAGCTTACCAGTGTCTTCATGAATACAAATGCAAAAGCTATTACTAGAGGATCATCAAGTGAAATTTGATGATGCATAAGAATTGTGCACCAAGAGGAATTTATTCCAGAGGTGCTGTGCTTTCTCAAAATCTATCCCTCTACCTATGGTTTGGTAATCCATCAGAGTAAGCCTCTGTGTTAAGGGAAAAAAGAAAATCATATAATCTCACTTGATGAAATAAGAGCATCAAAACATTTCTCAGAAAACCAAGAAAAGAAGAAAACATTTAACAACTACTCAGAAAGCACCTACAAAACACCTAGAGCTAACAGTGCACTTAGTGAGGACTGAGTGCTGTCTCTCTACAGCTGGGAACGAGACAAGAAAGTCTGCCCTCAACACTGCAAGCTCCAACCGGTGCAGTGAGGAAGAAAAGGAATTAAAGTCATACAAATTAAAAAGGAAGGACTTAAAAGGAAAACCATGGATGACATGGTTTTTCTATGTAAAAAAATTCCTAGATCCAGTAAGTGGATCGGGGTCATGGGATACAAGAGAAACATATGAAAATCACTTTTATTCCTGTATACTAGAACATATGACACTCATATTAAACATACAATACCCTTTACAATTTTAAGTTAAATTTAAAAATTCAAATTAATATAACAACATTTGAAAGAACAGTTTATTACATTCAAAACATTCTGCAACCACCACCTTTATGTTCTACTCCCAAAACACTTTCTTCACACCCAAAGGAAACCACATCCTCATTACTGGTTACTTCCCAACCCTCCTCCTCAGCTCCTGCCAACTTCCAATCTGTTCCCTGGGTATATGGATTTGGCTATTCTTCATATCTCATAAAAGTTGAATTATACAATATGTGACCTGTTTTATGACTGCTTTCATTTAGTATAATGTCTTAAAAGTTCATTTATACTGAGGCATGCATCAATACTTCATTCCTACTTATAGCTGGATAACTTCCTGTTGTGTGGGATACCACAATTTGCCTGTCCCTTCATCCACTGATGAATATTTGGACTGCTTTTACCTATTGCCTATAAGAGGAATGCTTCTACAAACATTCATGTGCATATATTTGTTTGAGTATCTTTTTTAAAAATTTAGGCAGTTATCCATAAGCACAGAATTGCTATATCATATTATAATTCAATGTTTAATTTTTTAAGTAACCACCAGACTTTCTCATATGTGCAAAACCATTTTGCATTTCTACCAGCAATATGCATATTTTTTTAGAGACAAAAAACCTTTAAATGTAAGTCTTAGAAAACCTGTGAGGACTTCTACACTGAAGATTTAAAAACATGAAAGAAATCAAAGTTGATCTGGGTAAATGACAAGATAAGTGGTAATGTTCATAACTGAAAGATTCAACATCATAAAGATGTCAACACTCCCAAGCTGACATACAGGCTTAACAAAATGCCTAAAATGTTTATAGCATAATTATTTTCCCAAAATTTATATGTAAAGTCAAGGGAAGCAAAATAATTGTAAAACAAGATGAGAAGAGCCAGTCTACTGAATTCAAGACTGTATGTTATTAGCAAAGTAAAAAAATCAATGGAACAGGACAGAAAACCATAAAAATCATACAAATAAACCAAGTTGGCTTTTGGCAAAGATAACTTTTTTTTTTTCAGAACTGGGGATTGAACTCAGGCCCTTGCACTTGCCAGGGAGGTGCTTATTCCACTGAGCCATCTCCCTGGGCCTGGCAAAGATAATTTAATGGAGGGGAGAAAGCCTGGCTAGCGAATAGTGCTGACTCAGCAATTGGACAATCAGATCCAGGGTGGCAGGTGTCAGAGAGTCTGAAGAAATTAATCTTGACCTAAGACTTTGGTGGTTGAGGGGTTGGGGAGATAGCTTGGTGGTCTAAAAGCCTGCCTGGAATGTATAAAGACCCAGGTTCGATCCCTAGTACCTCATACCAGGTGCACGGAGTGGGCCACAGAGACTGGGTATAGTGGTGCACACCTGTAATCCCAGCACGGGGGAGGCTGAGATAAGAGGATCATTATGAGTCTGAACTGCATACGGAGACCCTGTACCAAATAAAGGAAAAAAAGAGACCTCAGTGGTGGTGAATCTGTGGGACCTATGCCACAGCGGGCCAGCCAATCTTCCCCAGTTTCACGCCAATGGAAATGAAAACATGTTTACTTGTAAACTTGAGTATGAACATCTATAGTGTCCTATTCATAACAACGCCAAACTGGAAATAATCTTGATGTCCTCAAACAGGTAAATAGTTAAATAAGCTGTGGGGCTTCACTTTACGGGATACTGATTGGCCCTAAAAGGAAAGAAATAGGCTGGGCTGCAGTTTGGCAGTAGAGCATTTGCCTAGCAGGCATGAGGCCGAGAGTTGGGTCACCTAGCCCTGCAAAAACAAAACACTAAAAACTGTTGTGAATCCAGTAGTCTGCATGAATTTCCTGAGAGAGATGCTGAGTCGATTAGAAAATCTATCCCAAAATGTTAATAATGCAAGTTTAACATTTAACATGTTAAATTCTTTGTGTTTAACGTTTTGTTGTTTTTTTGGAGTCAGTAACTCACCAAGTCACTCCTTGCCCAGGGAGGGCTTGAACTTGAGACCCTCTGGTCTCAGCCTTTCAGAGTGCTGGGATTCCAGGCACGCGCCACCACACCCAGGGATATTTAACATTCTTGACCCAATAAATTACAGAACTGGACAACAAATTAGTAGTTCCTAGAGGTAAAGAAGAGGTTGAGATGCTATTCAGGGCAATGTGAGAGATCATTTTAGTGGTGGAAATGTTCTGTTTTGATGGCATTAACTGGTATGAATGTCCACATCCTGACTGTAACACTGTACAGTGGCTCTGCAAGATGTTGCCATCGAGGGAAACTGTGCGAAGGGCACATGAATCTCTGCGTTATTTCTTCCAACTATGTGGGAATTTACAATTATCTCAAGATAAAACTTTAAAATACATTTTTAAAAAATCTTTTATTTATTTGGCTCAGGGTCTCGCTACACAGGTCAGACTTGCAGTGATCCTCCTGTTTCAGCTTCCCCAGTGCTGGCATTACAGAAGTGTGCCACCATGCCTGGTTTCAGTGAGCTGGCGCAGCACCCTCGGGATCAAACCCGGGTCCTTGTACTTGGCAGGCAGGAGCTTAGACCACTGAGCTATCTCCCCAGCCCAAGATTAAAACACTTTAAAGTGAAGATTTTAAGAAGGTTTTAAAATGTAAAGGATGGACTCAGCAAAGAACAGGAGACTCCTTCATAGGAACATTGGGGCTGGAGTTGCAGGCAGCCAGTGACAGCATATGCCTGGCGTGCACAAGGCCTTGGGTTTCATCCTCTTCTCTGGAAAACAACAACAACAACAAAAACTGAACAGGAATGCTAGAAATAAAACTGAAAAACATCTTTAAAAATAATTATTGTTACAATTAAAATCTTAGATGGTTATGTGTTTCTTGTTGCTACTATGAAGAGTTACCACAGATTTGGTGTCAATATTATCTTGCGGTTTTGGACATTGCAATTCCAAAATGGGTCTCACTGAGCTAAAAGCAGAGTGCTGGCATTTGAACCACTGGCTGGCAATGCTGTGCCTTTATCTCCAAGCCTGCAGTGGGGGGCAGAGTCCCTTTCAGATGGCCTGTCTCTGATTTCCCCTCCTCCACTAATAGGGACTCTGTGATGACAGGGACACTCCTGGGTAACCCAGGCTGTTGCCCACAGCCAGACCAGCAGCAGCAGCCTTGATTCCTCCTGCACCTTAGTGCTCCTCTGTGAATTCACCCATCTCGGGGCGTGGATGTATGAGCGGGTGGGGCTGCTGTTCTGCCAGGCACCAAAGATTTTTTAAAAAGACTCAACGTCTACAAAATACCTATTGAACCAAAAGAACTGAAATTACTTAGAAGGTGGCAAAAGACACAGGATGTAGGAAATATAAATGAAGAGTTAAAAGACACAAATGACACAGGATTCTAGAAGAAACATTCCTACCAGGGTTTCATATAAAGGAAAGATGGAGGAATTAGAGTCCCTTTGGGTGCTTGCAAGTTTGTACACTGCATCTCTTTGTTTTTGCAGTTTCGCTTTTGAATGAGGAACATGCTTTCCTTTTCTCAGAAGACAGCTTTTGATGAGAATTTTTATACTCAAGAGTGCATGTATGGTCATATGATTTAATGCCCCTCTTCAGTTTGAATCAATGACCAATTTCTATAGCATGGATAAGGTTTAAAAATATTAATCAGGGAAATTCATTAGCATGTCAAAAATCCGTTTACAACTCGTTACAGCAAAGAAATAGAATAGAAAATGCACACTGCCAAGAACAGACTAAAATCAAGCCAGGGAGAAATACTTTGATGTTTTAAAGTATAAATTTAAGTAAAGGCTCGGTTGTCAAGTTTGTTTACTTGGAGCTAGCTGTCATCAGGAGTGCCTGTCCCAGCCTAAGCGTTCAGTCAAGTCCGGGCACTGGCCGCGGAAGCCCGGCGGGTGGCACTGGCAGGGGCGGGCCTTGCCCCGCGCGGCGCGGCCGAGCTGGCTTCGGGTCCCTCGCGCGTCACCCCCGGCGACCTCTGGCTCTGCCCCCTCGGGACAGGACTGCACAGGACGCCCTCGGCCTCCCGCGTCCGGCGGGAGAGCGGCGCCACTACCGCGCCCGCCGGTGCTCCCCGCCCGCCTCCGCCTCTCCCGGGAGCTCGCCGGCCTGCGGGCGCCGGCGGAGGGGCGCGGCCGTCGCCGCCTCCTGCAGTTCCCGTTCCGGGCCGCGCCGCAGCGGCCACCGCGCTCCCGAGCAGCCGCCCGCTCCCCGGCGCACCTGGCATCTGCTCTGGCTTCCAGAAGCTGCGAGGCTTGCAAACCTAGGGCCAAGTAAGTCCTGGGGGGTGCGCGTTGCGGACGCTTTCTGGGGTGCGGGTTTCGTGAGCGAGGAGGCGCAGGGAGGCAGGATCCGCGTGCGGTCGGCAGGCGGGCTGCTCCGGGTGGACAAGACGGAGAAACCCAGGGGACTGAGCACTGCAGTGAAAGTTCCGAAGTTGGGAGCCCTGTGGGTCGGCGGTAGCGGAACTCTGTCCCACGGTGGCCTAAGACTGGGGTTCTTAGTTCCACCTGGGACACCTGGGACACTTAAACTCCAGTTGTCCGGACTTTCCCTGAAGTCCCTCGGAATCTCCAGGGTGGGATCCAGGCTTGCTGTTGGAACGCACCGCGGGTGATGCCAGCGTGCAGGTAGGGTTAGGAACGCGGGGAGGGTAGTCCTTGCACCTCCTGCTCTCCAGCCTGTAAACAGGCTGCTTCCAGGGTTCTGCTAGGTCCCCAGGTCAGGGGAGGACTTCCTTTGGGATTCATGGGCTACAGGATAAGAAAATGAAACATTGTTTGACAAGGTCCACTTAATACCACATGCAAAAAGTCTCGAACGTGCAGCAGTGTAAGAAACATGCAGAATGACAGATCCTCCTGTCCTATTGGTTCTGCAGCCTGGAAAATGCTGAGATTGTTGGTATTGAAATTAAGTCTTGGGAAATCAGTACACCCTGCCTGGACAACTTCTGTGGCTTTCGCTTTCAGAGGGAAGCCCGAGGTGTGTTCCCTGAGGGTGGGATCTGTCCTCCCTCAGGGAGGAGTGGGCTGACTGTGCACCCCTGGGGGTAGATGCCAGGGGCAGGTGGCTGGAAGCCAGGCAAACAGGCAAGGGACAGGCATCTACTGATTATATTGAGCAGATTTAAAACCCACAGCAAAGAGGTAGAAGAGGGCTGTTATAAAAAAAGTAGATTTTATTTTTTGTGGAATGGAGAAAAAGTTCAAGCTTTGGAGCCCGTTAAACTTGGGCCCAAATTTTGAGTCTGTCACTTCTGTAACATGTGACCGTGGATAAGTTACTCGGCCTCTCTGTTTTCTTACCTGTAAGATGGAGATGAAATAGTGACTGTCTCCTGAGGCTGACAGTTCAGTAAGTCAAGGTGCATCAGACACCTGTCAAGAGGGCCGCACAGCTGGGCAGATGCTTGTCCCTGGTAGATGTCAGCCACAGTTCAAGAGTCTCCTTTCAGCCATCCACGAGCCCTCAACTTGTTTCTAGGAAAATTCTTCTTTGGCGCATCAGGTGCTCTTGGAGGACAAGTGCTCCTTCTTGTCTCGATTCTTGTGGTAAGAGGTGAGTGGTTGCTGCTGTTTCAATTAATTTAACAGATTTCAACCCAAGCTAGAAAGTCTTTCAAAAAGCCAGGGCATAGTAGAGCACAGGTGGAATCCCAAGACTCAGAGGGCTGGGGCAGGAGGATCACTGAGAGTTCAAGGCCAGCCTGGGCTACAGAGAGTTCAAAGCCAGCCCAAACTAGATAGCAAGAGCCTGTCTCAATAAATAAATAAATAAATAAATAAATAAATAAATAAAATTTTTAAAAAGTCTTTTCAAAACAAAAGTTTGTTAAAGCATGACTTCCTGGCTTAGAGTTTTAAATACATGTGAGTTTTATCTGCAACTGCCACACCAGGCTGTGGGCAGAGATTACTACCCAGAGTGGACAAGGCAAGCTGGCCACCTGCCTGCCCTTTGCTCTCCTTCTGGACCCACAGAGTCAGCCAGGGATGCTGCCACCCTGCAGGGATCTTACCCTTGGTCCTTTGGTGGAGTAGGGTCCCCCCAATAGCCAGTGTGCTTCTTTGGAGCCAAGAGACCATTTTGTACTATGTTTCATTAAAAGCAATAGACATCTCACCAGTAATTGGTCACTTTGGAATTTGTTTTACTGAGGAGTTATTTTCTTCTAACTTAGAGCAAACCGTTGATTTGAAGGACTAATTTCTGGGTCAAGGGCCCAGGTAAGTACTAAGTGAGCACCATATTAAGGCACAATTTTGCTAGGGAAGTGTGTGTGTGTGTGTGTGTGTGTGTGTGTGTGTGTGTGTGTGTATTTGGGGTATATGGGGAGGGGTAGATTTATAAAACAAGAAAATGTACCCATTTGTGTTTTTTTCCAAAACTCGATATCTTTTATCCATCTACTGTATGGGTGCCACCACATAGCTAAGTGTCAGGAGACTTGGAGCCTAGCGGATATTTTCAGAGTCACACATGCATAGTCAGGACTATCATACACTGCTGAAAAAACTATTGGATGGGAGAACTTGAATAGAACACTTACTTGGAAGGATGTTTATGTCGTTCTACTTCCCCAAAGAGTAAAGTTCTAATGACCAAGATCTTCTTGTGCTTCATTTTACCCATTTCTGGGCTGCTCTCTCTGGTGTCAGGACCACGCCTCCTGGAGGACACTGGGCTGATCACTGGGCCTTACCTTGGAAATCTCCTAACTCTTGATAACACAGAATGACAAGTCCCTTCCTTTAGATGACCATTCCTGGCTCCGTTTAACAAGGCCCATGTTTCACATTTAAAACGAAGTCAGTCATGCTGACAGTTTCCACTAGGCAAGACTCACATGGAAGAAATCTTGGGTTCTGCAGTCAGAGTTGCCACCACGTTCCTACTTTGTTCTTTACCATGTGAACTTGGTCAAGACCTTTGGCCATTCCAATCCTGCGTCCTCTCTTGTGAAAGCATTCTTTACAGAGTATTTTAGTACTTGGAGAGTTAATCTAGGTGAAGGCTTGGCACACCACCTCACTTTCAGTGACCAGTGATTATTTTTGGTGGTAATAATTACGATGGATTGGTTGTGGTACTTGGTTCTGGTGTGTTCTTGCCATTTCTTATTTATTTGACTTGGGTAGAGTATTTTCAAGCTTGAGTTTGGGATCTGTTCGATGGGGATGGCTCTACCCATCTGTAAGGATTGGTTTGAGGCTTAATTTATGAAATGAAATGAAACTGCGTCTGATCTAATAGGCCCTACAAATACTGGCATAGGCTTACTGTGTGCTGAAAAGGGTTTTGGAGGGTTTTTTTTCTTTGTTTGTTTAGCTTTTGTTTTGCTGATTTTTCAGCTTATTCCACTTTCCTAAGAACCCTGTGCAGTCAGAAGTTATCATTTCCCCTGTTTTGCAGATGAGCCAACTAAGGTTACCTGAGGTTGAATAATGCACAGAGGAAGTGCTGTGTCCAGGGAGGAAGGGCTGTGTCCAGGACTTGAAGTGGGTGCCCCTTCTTAACCTCTGGCCCAGTGCCCAGTGAGTGGTCCTCCATGCTGGTTGCCACACCCGCCCCACCACACCCAGTTCCTGTCCTCCCCACAGCTCTACTGACCAATGGCTCTACTTCTAAATTTAGTACCCTGTCCTGGGTATGAAGTAAAAGTGGGATTTCCTTCTCCTGTCATTCAATGAACTTTTAAAGTTCAACCATGGCTTAAACTATTTGGCCTAATTCACATTTTTAAAAAAATAGCCTCTTCATTCTGGTGTTGACTATTGGATTCTGTTTGTTTTGTGATAAATGTCATCTGCACGCACTGAGACTGTGAGTATCCCTTCACCCAGGCAGATGCTTGGGAGCACAGAAAACAGGCTCAGGATTTCCAATTTAACAGAGCCTTGCACAGAAAGTACAGTGGCCTGGCTGGGCATGGCGGTACACACCTGCAAGCCCAGCTACTTGGGAGACGGAGGCTGGGGAATTACATTTTCAAGGTCAGCCTGGGTAATATAGTGAGACCTTGTTTCAAGACATAACTAATCAATTAATTAATTAACTTAAAGGGTTGGGGATGGAACTCAGTGTTAGAGTATTTGCAGGGTAAGGCCATGAGTTCAATCTCCAGCACCACAAAAATGAAAAAAGAAAGGAGGGAGGGAAAGATGGAGGCCTGTTCTGTGTTCCCTGTTTTGAAATTTCTTATTAATCTTCCCTCTTCTCTTTTACCCCATTCACTTTCTCTTTTTCTTGAGATCTGGCAGGCTTCCCAGGGGAACTTGAGGGCCCAGAGGAACACATTCTCAGCTGAGTGGTCATAGATGCTTTAGTATTTCTACAAGGAAGTGGCAATTTCTGGCTTTCCCCGGAGGTGAAATGCTTTGCTGGCTCCCCAGCCTGGGGTTGAAGACTTTTAGAAAGCTGTTGGTAGCTCCTTGTTCATCCTGGCTCTTTGGGCATTCATTTCATTAATGTGAAAGAACAAATTTTAGAGAAGGTCTTTCTGGAGCCAGTCATTTGCTGAATACTTTGGGATATAAAAATGAATAAAATAGACCCAGTCTCAGGCCAAATGGAATTTGTAGATTGTTTCTTTAACAAATAGCCTGTGTGGGGGCTGGTGAGATGGCTCAGTGGTCGAAAGCACCTACTTAGAACAAGCTTCGCAAAAAAGCACAGGGACCACGGTTCAATCCCCCAGCACCACATGCCAGCCAGCCCCGCCCCCTGGTGGACTGAGCTGGCCACACACACACACACACACACACACACACACACACACACACATAAATAAATAAATAAAATACTAAAAAAAAAATTTACTTTAAAAAAAAAACAACAAACAAACAAATAGCCTGTGTGGCTTAAACCACTTACATTGTCTCCTATGGTTCCAGAGGCTGGAAGAATAAGATGAGAAAGCGAGCATGAGACTAGAAAGATAGCTCAGTGGTCTAAGAACCTGTCTGGCAAGTGCAAGGATCCGGGGTTCAATCCCTGGTACCACATGTCATGCTGGCCCCGCGCCAAGCCAGCCATTGAAACCAGGTGTATTGGCATATGCCTGTAATCCCCGCACTGGGGAGGCTGAGACAGGAAGACCACTATGAGCCTGAACTGCATATCAAGATTCTGTACCAAATCAATCAATCAATCAATCAATCAGTCAATCAATCAATAGACAGCCAGCGTGGTCTGTTTTGGTGGGTGTTCTCTTCTTGGGTTGCAGGTAGTACTTTCTTGCCTGTCCTCATGTGGGGCAAGGAGAGTTTCT